CTAGCTGACCTGCAATTCTTTCCGTCTTTTGCAGACCCCTCGCTCTTCGTTCGTGCTGGCCAGACTCCGTTCTACATCCTTGTCTACATAGACGACCTAGTCTTACGAGACAGACTCGTCAAAAGTGACGTCACGAGACTGAAAGAACCGGTGAGAAGGCGGGTGGTAGAACTGCCAGTCTGACGAGTCAAGGGGGAAACCTAGGAAGACACAGAGGACAGTGCGGGCAGTGAGCTTGTCCGTGCCAGAGGCACGAACGTGAGCAAGACAGCCCCAAACGTGTTACGCAGACGCGTCACGAGGGGACCTGGTCTAGAGGAGGGTCGGCGAAACCTGCGACCGCTGAGGGTGCGGCCAGAGGTTAAGCTGGTGAGCAGCGTAGCGAAAGGCGAACGGCCACAGAAAATGGGGTGCACCGGCATGGATCATGGAGGTACGAGCAACCTCCATGACCAAACCGATGCGTCGCTCAGCGACCCCATTCTGCTGCGGGGAGTCCGGCAGGGTGAACGTCTGGGTGATGCCCTTCGCACGACAAAAGCAACCAAAGCAGCTAGAGGCAAACTCGCCACCACGGTCGGAGTGAAGACGCAAGACAGGGAGACCTCGGTGAACAGGCGCAGAGACAAGCCACGGGAGAAGAACGTCAGGCACGTCGGCCTTCCGCTCCAGGGGAAAGATGGTGGTGTAGCGGGTGTAGTCGTCCACAAGCACGAGGAAGTAGCGCTCGCGACGCGGCCCATGGACGGGGGCAGGGCCCTAGATGTCCATGTGCAGGGTCTGCAGTAGTGCAGAGGTAGGGGGGAACGAGGAGGAGTGAGGGGCACGGCGGAGCCGGCCCTCGACACAGGGCGTGCACGGAGGCGCGGGTGAGGAGGGGAGCGCAAGGAACAACTTAGGGAGGCCTAGGACAAGACGATGTTGGGACATGTGACGAAGACGAGTGAGGGTGGGGTGACCTAGACGGTGGTGCCACAGAAGTGACGGGTGAGTAAGCGATTGACACGAGCACGCCACAGCAACCTGGGAAGATGCAGGTACCTGGAGGCATCCCAACCGGGGGGGAAGCAGTGTCCAGCGTGAACAGGCCGGACACCAGGTCCCGGGGGAACGTGGTGAGGGGGGCACCAGTGGCGGCCTCAGTACAGACTGTGTACCGCTCATGCCCAGGGAACGTGGTGGTGACGCCAAGGTCCTGGAGGCAGCTGACACCAATTAGGTTCCTAGAGAACGAGGGGATGTGCAGGCCTGTAAGGGAGCCTGAGGGAACCGCCGGACGGGGGAGAGTAGTGGAGCTACGTGCAACTACAGGACCGGAGGAAGGGTTTGCAAGAGCAACTGCATTAGGAGCGGCAAGCGGCGTAGGCGTCGTGGAGTCGCGAAAGAGACATCGGGAAGCGCCGGAGTACAGGGTGAAGGAGAGCGCGGCAGCGGCGACAGAGGTGGGAGGAGCTTGGGAGGACCCTTGGCTAAACAAGGCAAAGGATCCTACCCCTGACACAGCAAGGGAGCCTCAACTAGGCACACGGGGCCCACCTACGCTAGGCAACACAAGGTAATAGGAACCAGTCACACTAGAGTCATCAACATACATCGCATAAAAAGCAGAGCTAATCTCATCCATGTCCATATCAAAGATCTGAACTTGGCAACGGAGCAGGCTGTGCCAGTCGGGGAGGTCAGGCGACGGGCCGAAGCGGAGACGAAACAGGTCGTCTAGGCGACGAAAGCAACGAGCGGGGGTATGATTGATCTTACCGCACACGAGGCCGCGGCGAGGACCGGTCTGGAGCTGGTACTGGCAGCACCCATCACTCTGACCACCACCCGACGGCACACAGTGCAAGCGACCATTGCGACCACCGTCACCTCCAGCTCCAGGCCACCCGGGCGGGAGGCGACCGACACGCCGGTCCGCCTGCTGCTGCTGCTGGTCCTGCGGCGGCGTCTACTGCTGCTGCTGCTAAGGCTGCTGCGCCGGGGCACCAACCCCAGCGGCGTTCTCAGGACTACCAACAGTCGAGTCACCTCCACCACCGGCACCACCCCCTCCTCCGCTACCTCCGCCGCGTCAGCCTTGGGGCGGCGACCCTTACCCGGACGAAACTGCACGGCAGCAGCGGTCTCCATAGCCGGAGCCTTCTCAGCAACCGCAGCAGAACTGTCGGAGTAAGAGCACTGAGCAAGGGCACAGCCCTGAAAGATAGAGACGAGCACGGTACCGCTAGACTGGGCGATAGAGCGCTGGCGGGTCTCTATGGCAGACAGGGTGTCGACAAAGTCAGTGAGGGTGAGGTCAGCGGAGTGGAGACTAAGGAAGTGATCACGGGTGGTGGCAAGGCGGTCAGGGAGGCGGGTGGCAAGCAGGTAGAGGGTAGAGCAGATGGGGGGCTGAAACACACGAAGCTGGGCCTCAGTGCAGGCAGCGCGCCAGGTCGTGTCTATCGTGCGCAGGTGGGCGGCTAGGTCAGCGACAGTGGGGAAAGACGCGGGGTCAGGAAACAGCATGGGCAGGATCAAGCGACCTACGGAGGTAGAGGGCGGGGTGGAATAGCGTGCAACAACAGCCTCTAACAACTCCTGCGCAGTCCTGGCGGACCTAAAGCAAGGGCGCTCGGACAGGGGAAGGGCATGACTAATCGTAAGCTAAGCGACATCGTCACGCGACAACCAGACAGAACGAGCAAGGGCAGCAGTTGCGGCGGACTCACGGTCAGCAGAGGTGGGGTCAGCGGGGAGGGCAGCAGGGGGGTCTGGGCAGGGGAGCGTACTATCGAGGTGGACGGCCATGGAGTGGTCGTCCTACCGCTGACCAGTCAGGTGGCGCTGGAGGTCGACGAGCCACGAGTCGAATGCAATCGGCTGCCCCTCCGCATCGAAACGCAGAACTGAGTCCGCCATCATGGTTGCAGCAGCAGGAGAAGGGCAGTACGGGGCAAAAGAGGGCGGTGGAAAGCGGTGCAGTGCGGTACAGTGCGATAGAGGGAGGTGCAGTATGGTTGTGTGCGGTGCAGCACGGTGAAGTGCAGTGGAATGCGGTGCAGTGCGGTGCAGTGGGGTGCAGTGCAGAGCAGTACCGGGCGGTGCATCGCAGTGCAGAGGACCGAGGACGGCGGCGAGGCGGCTAGGAGACAGAGCCGCGGGCGGCAAGGCAACAGGGCCAGCAAGGGGACGGGGCCGGCTGTGGGTGGCAGGCCAGCGAGGAGGCAAGGCCGACGGGGCCGATCGGGCGGCAGGGCTAGCTAGGAGGCGAGGCCGTCGGGGCCAATGAGGCGGCGGGGCCAGCTAGGAGGCGGGGCCGACAGGGCAGATGGGGCGGCAGGGCCAGCTAGGAGGCGGGGCCGACGAGGCCGATGGGACGGCGGGGCTACAGTAGCTAGGAGGCGGGACCGACGGGGTTGACTGGGCCAATGTGGCAGGAGGGCCAGCTAGGAGGCGGGGCCGACGGGGTCGATGGCGCGCAGGGCTAGCAAGGAGGAGGGGCCAGCAGGGCCGACTAGGCGGTGGGGTCAGCTAGGAGGCGGGGCCAGCAGGGCCGACTAGGCGGTGGGGTCGGCTAGGAGGCGGGGCCGACGGGGCCGATGGCACGCAGGGCTAGCGAGGGGGGCGGGGCCGGCGGGGCCGACTAGGCAGTGGGGTCAGCTAGGAGGCAGGACCGACGGGGCCGACGGGGCCGATGGCGCGGCGGTGCTAGCTAGGAGGCGGGGCCTGCGGGGGCCTTTGGCGCGGCAGGGCCAGCTAGGCGATGGGGCGGCTAGGAGACGAGCCGGCACGAGCGAGGCGATTAGGACCTGGGGCGGAAGCGCTAAGGGGAGGGGGGGGGTACCTACCTACTCATGATACCATGTTAGAGTGAGAAAAGTTGACCAGAACAGGACATATAAGGGTATATAGGCTAATGGGTTGTACTCTCTAAGGCACAACCCTATATAGTCTACTATAACATACAATATATATGTTTGTATGTTTGACATATAGAACTGGAGAGCCACCCTGAGGAAACAGCATGAACATAAGCGACCAACCATGATTGTTACACGTTCTTTTGGGGGCCCACCCTGATTGGTCAGGATGCCTATAATCCTATATGAGGCCCTGCCACGCAGTGCGGGGGTCTCGTTATGGAGAAATTTGGGAAAGTATATCAGCGCTCAGTATTAGGGGCCTCGATAACATGTACGGTCAGTAGCACGATAGAAACAATCAGAATTAGCAAGTTTGCAACATGATTCATCAGTCGGGTTCCACCGTTTGTCAGAAACAGCAGAAAAAAAAGTTCCACGAATGGTCAGTAGAATTAACCACCGCTCGTCTCGGAACGTTTTCCCGCCTGCGCCAGCCCAATTTCGTCATCATAGTGGCTGGCGCGATATTTTTTCCGAGCTCCAGGCCAGGGCCGCTGATAGGATTTTAGGCATCCTGACCAATCAGGGCGGGCCCCCTAAAAAATGTGTAGCAGTCAGGGTTGGTGACTTATGTTCATACTGATTCCTCATGGTGGTTCTCCAGCTCTATACTTTGGCCTCAGGGTAAATTTTGAAACGCTTGAAATCTCATAAGTCACTCTAAACAGCAGCAGCAGCACACTTGGCTTCACGCGTTGTGATGGGTTGAGGCGCGACTGGCCGATTTGCGTCAACTGTAGCGCACGAGGCTATCAGACCAGGAAAATTTTCTTCGTCTGACTGTCAGACAGAATTTTGCTGAGACCGGATGGGCGTTCAGTTTAAAACGAATGCAGCCCCTGAAAACTCTGATAAAGTCAAAGGCAAGAAACGATAAGTTGCGTGAAAAAAACTGCAGTTGGATTTCCATCGAGCGGTTATGACGAGGCTGGATGGTGAGGGCGCATTCCTCGCTTGTGGCACACTCTATGGCAAGTTTGTCTGTTTCCCACTTCAACGTGCTGGATTATCTGAATTTGCTTCTAATAATCTTGACCGTGGAAAAACTCATAAAAGTTAGCCACGAAGTATTATGCCAAACGTGAGGAATAATCCCTGAAATGCAGTACTTGACGAGATTAGTGCCCCATTTTGGAGAACTTGTCGATGACGACGAGGATCGCGTCATGACCGCTTGTGGTAGTTGGTAGCCCGGTGATGAAGTCTTGGCTGACTACTTGCCAGGGCTGTTCTGGGACAGGAAGAGGCTGTAGCAGTCCCGTCTTTTTCTGATTGCTGCTCTTCATCCGCTGACATGTAGTGCACGAGGTGACGAATTTCTGTACGTCATCTGCCATGTGGGGCCAGTAGTAGTGTTTGGCGATACCGGAGAGCGTCTTGTTGCTACCGAAGTGTCCTGCGTACAGGACGTCGTGGTATTCTGCGAGTAGTAACTGGCGCAAAGGAGGGTAATTTGGTGCCCAGATCTTCGTTGATCCTTTCCGGTACGCGATGTCGTTGTCCCACTGTAGCAGATGTCGCTTTTCTACCAAGGGAATTTCGGGGTCGATGGTGTACCCGTGTGTGAAGAGTCCCTTGAGGAGTGGATTCATCCCTTCAATTTGGATAGCGGCAACGTGTGCAGGCCGGCTAAGCGCGTCTGCTTTGTTTTATATGGCCAGGCTTGTACACGATGTCGTAGTGGAAGTGTGTCTCGAGAAAGTCGATCCACCGAACCTGTCGCCTGGAGAGGCTTGGTTGCGTCTTTAAATATTTTTGGCTGCAATGGTCGGTGTAGACTATTGTTTTGCGTCCTTCAAGATAACATCTCCACGTTTTGAAGGCGATGATGATAGCCAAAGCCTCCTTGTCGTGTATCGGGTAGTTGATATCTGCCCCGTGTAGTTTCTTGCTAAGGTAGGCGATTGGTTGCAGTCCATTCCCCTGGTCTTGCATCAAGACTGCTCCCACTGTCTGGTCACTGGCGTCAGCTTCGATGACGTAGTCGCGTTCGGGGTCTGGCAAGATGAGTACGGGTGCGGACGTGAGTGCTTGCTTCAGGAGCTCCACGGCTTCATGGTGTTGTGGCTCCCATTTATAGGGCGTGTTCTTCTTCAGCAGATCCGTGAGTGGCGCGGCGATTTTCGCGTATTGCGGCACGAACCTGTTGTAGTAGTTAGCGAAGCCAAGGAATTGCTGTAACTCCTTCACGTTCTCGGGTGTTTTCCACGTACGCACGGCTTCGATTTTCTTGGGGTCGACGTGAACTCCTTGAGCGCTTACGATATGTCCGAGGAATTGGACTTTCTCGAGGGCAAAGTAGCTCTTGGATAGTTAGATATAGAAGCGTTCTCGTCGAAGAATCTTGAAGACGCATCGTAAGTGTTCGACGTGTTGTTGCATGTCGCGCGAGTAGACGAGGATGTCATCCAAGTACACCACCATGCATTCGTCCAAGAGTGGGCATAGGATGTGATTCATCTCTGCTTGGAACGTTGCAGGTGCGTTGGTGAGTCCGAACGGCATTACCAGATACTCGTACGAACCGTACCGAGTTCGGAAAGCAGTTTTGTGAACAGAGTCGTCCGCCATTCGTATCTGCCAGTATCCAGACCACATATCCAGTTTTTAAAATACCGTGGCTCCTCGAATTTGGTCAAGCAGGTCATCGATTCGTGGGATTGGGTATTTGTTTTTTATGGTCTTCTTGTTGAGAGCTCGGTAGTCGATGCATATGCGCAAGCTTCCGTCTGGCTTCGGTGTGAAGAGTACTGGGGCACCGTATGGTGAATTGGATGGTCGGATGAGTCCTTTGGTGAGGAGATACTCGATCTGCTTCTTCATGTCGGCTAGCTCTGTGGGGCTGAGACGATATGGTGCTCCGAAGGTCGGCTTCGAACCTGGTTCCTCCACGATCTCATGTTGGTGCGTTCGGTATGGCGGTAGCTCGTCGGGGAGGTCGTCGGGAAGAATATCTTGGAACTCCTTCAGGATTTCCTTGATTTTTCTTGGAGGTTCCGAGGTCTTCTCCTCATCCTTTTCCACATCTGTTGCTAATGCCAGGAACCCGGCGTTGGTCTTTTCACGTCCTTCTCAAACCTAGCAAGTGTCTCCACTGGGATATCTCCTGTATCGTCCCAGTTGGGTAGTTGGACTCTCCTTCCTTTGTTATAGATGCTTGCGGTGCAGTTTACTCAGATGATCTCGGGGTTGAATCGTTTCAGGAAGTCTCGCCCGAAGATCAAGTCAAGCCTTTTATGTTGGTGATGGGGAGAGCAGGATTCCAGCGTAGTGGCCCGATTTGTAGGTGTAGCACTGCTTCGTCGTACACTGGTAACTTGCTGTCGTCCACCATCGTTGCAGAAAGCACTGATGGCTTGAACTCTTCTTGAAGTCGGTCGATGGTTGCCTTGTCGCATATGGTGTGCAATGCTCTGCTGTCCACGAGTGCTTGGAGGCGTTGTCCTTTGCAGATGACCTCGAGCACGAGGGGCAGACATTGCTCGAAGTACCCAAAGATAGTTTCATTAATTGAGTCATAGGGTACATCCCAATATTCGTTGCTTCCTACTCCTGAGCTGGCAGCTGGCCGAGGCTGCTTGGAGAAAGGCTCTTCTCCAGGGCCCGGAGTGTCCGTGACGACTGTTCGTGTCGTTGACGAAGTTGCCGAGTTGGATGCATCCGAAGAAGGAGTTCGGGGTTTTTGCAGCTTCTTGTAGACCCCCAGCTTCCTCTTGAGCTGCTTCAGCTCCACCGACGTCTTCCCTGGGGAACGGGTAGTCGTTGTGGGCTGGTGTCAGGAGAGGACGTTGACTCCGTGGAAAGGTCGGCTTCTTTCCACACTCCTTATTTTGGTCCCCAAGTTTTCCGGTACCGGTACGATCTCCATAATTTTCTGCTTCTTCTGGATTCCCTCCCGAAATTTCTCCAAGGCTTTAGCTCCTCGAGAATTACAGGTTTTCATTAAAGCATCTTTATAAGATAACTTTAACAAATCCTTATAATTTCTTGGGTCTTCAAGGAGTTTCCCTGTCTTGGCAGAGTCCTTTTTCGCGGAGTTGGATTTTTCCTCGGCGATTTTCTCTGGCAAAGACTGGTCATGGGTTGGAGATTTTCCCCCATCATTTTCTCCTGTTCGCGTCGAATCAGCTGCGTCGAAGTTTTTTTTTTCCAGAAGTCCGTGGCCGCTTTTGGATCTTTTCTTTTTCACCAGCTAGATCCGCAATCACTGGAGAGTCCCATTTTTTGGCTTCTGATTGGCTAAAGGATTTCAGCCACTGTTGCGTGCCCGATACTCGGCGCGTGCGGCTTTCATTTTGTTGCAGTCGAAGATTCCATCGGGTCAGCGAACGTGGTGTGAGCCGAACGGTCGCCCTCTCGCGTACTGTCGACGTGCGCCCGTCGTGTCCCGGCGTTGACCATGTCGAAACGTTCCGCGGCCGATACGACGTCACTGTAGCTCGCGTAGTTTGTCGCTGCTACTTGTCGTTTGACTTCGGTCTTCAGCCCGGCGAGGTACGACTGTACTTTTTCCCATTCGGTTAGATCGGGGCTACGGTTATAAAATTCCTCCATCTGCTGCGTGTACTGCGCTACACTCCCGAACTGTCGATGGCGATGAATTTTTTCCTGGGCAAGGAACCTCGAGTGCCGGCCCTCGCATCAGTGTCGCCGCGAGTCGTACGCGTTGTCCGTCCCAGACTGGCGAACTCCATCCGATGGCTGCGAAGTAGATCTCCATGTCGGCGATCCATCTGCGGGCGTCGGAATTTCGATCGCTCGCATCGAACGGCTCAGGTGGGCGCGGTTTCGGAGCCTCGAGAAACTGTTGCGACTGCTGCGTCGTCGCCGTTGTCGTTTCGTGTTGGGCGCCGGCGAGTCGAGTTACTCGCTCGAACTCTTTTCGCCAAGCTTCGCGGTCGGCTCGCATCTCCTCCTGTAGGGCGGCGATGCTTGTGAAGAGCTGCTGGGTAACTTCGGCATTGTCGAAGTTAGCCATCCTGTTCAAAACACACGCGGAGGGGGTAATTCGAAAAAAACGCGGAGCTGGTGCTTACCAGAATCGGCGTCAGATTGGTCGCCCTCGGCAGTTTTTCGAGGCAGGATCCCCCGCTGTTGCTGCTTAGCTGAGCGCGGCCGAGTGAGAAAAGCTCTGATTACCAAGTATCACATGATCGAATGTGTCGAGGAAAGGTTGCACTATCGATTGATACAAGGCGCTTTTATACTTCCAAAGTACATCAGGTAACCAGGTCTATCCTATCCCAAAGGAATAGACCCTTCTAGAAATAGAATCACCCTGCGTATAGCCATGCGAGGCTATTGGCTTTAAGGGATTACGGCAGGATTACACTAGATATAGCGTGCCAGTACATCCCGAGCCTAGTCGGTGATATAATGATAATAACAGGATAAACCAAAGGTTTATGGATTAGAAGGAATAGGAATCCAAATGGAATGAGATAAAGACCAAATGAATCAGGATAAAAAGTTGAATGAAATGGAAAGGGAAGATGGAAAGGAGAAAGGAATGGAACGGGGTCGTACTCTCACAGAGACGCAGGGGAAAGGGGGGGGGGGGGGGGGGGGGGGGGGGGGGGGGGGGGGGGGGCGGAGGGGGGAATCTTCAGCCACACGCCATGGCTAGCGCGGCGCTTACTGGCGGACGAATCTTCAGCGGCGTGCCATGGGTGGTGCGGCGCTTACTGGCGGGAGGGCATCACGGCTGGCGCCTGGGACAGGGCGCTGGCCGCAGCCGTCCGTGCATTGGCGCGGCGAAGCCGCCACAGTAGCACGACGGCATGGCGCCCAAGCAGCACGGCGGCACGATGACACGGCGGCACGGCGGCACGGCTCAGCGTCTCGACGGCGCAGAGTGATGGGGCCGGCACGGCGTGACGGGGCTGGCGCGGAGTGACGTGGCCGGCGCGGAGGGACGGGCCAGCGGATAGTGACGGGGCCGGCGCGGCGTGACGGGGCTAGCGTAGAATGACAGGGCCGGCGCAGAGTGACGAGGTTCGCGCGAAGTTATGGGGCCGACGCGGAGTGAGGGGGGCCAGCACGGCGTGACGGGGCCAGCGCGGAGGGACGGGGCCAGCGCGGAGGGACGGGGCCAGCGCGGCGTGACGGGGCCAGAACTGCGTGACGGGGCAAGCGCGGCATGACGGGGCCAGCGCGGCGTGACGTGGCCAGCGTGGCATGACGGGGGGGAGTACGCTGCGGAAGGGTGAGGAGAAGGCCCAAGCGAAAGTGGCCTGCTCTGAAACCATGTTATGAAGCTAGGTTAGCTAGGGTAGGCGGCCATGAAATGGCGAGAGGTTTAGGAGCTAGGAGAGAAAGTTACAAGAGAAAAGAAAGCAACTAGAACAGAGAGAGGCATACAAGGGGAGGGGTTGTACCATCTACAGTAAAGTTCAATAACCTACCAAGCCTACCAATTACAGTATATAACACATTATATAATTAAACAGCATGTCCCGCGATGATAAAAAATGACAGCTTTGTCACTATCGCATTTACGGCCCCAAAAAAAAGTCAAGCCATAAACGTGTTGTCATTCACGAGTCGTCCAAAAACAATAGCATATATAAATAGCTACGGGGGTTGATTTTCGGGAAATGAATATGTTTGAAAGCGCGTCAAGGTACTCTCAGGACCGCATTTAATTTTGTATTAATTTCAATACAACAAATCTACTTGAAGTCTGCCGGTTGTCTTTAGATTTGTTCAACAAATGTATTTGCCAGAAAAATTTCCGTCGAATTACGATTCTACAAGTCTTGTAATGCTCGAAACAAATTAGCGCATGCGCACTACAGTAAAATATTCACGTCTCATTGGCTTAGCGCCGATCCCGGGTAGATTTCCTCTGTTGTGTCAAATGTTTTCGTTTTTTGTGTGTTTGTGCGGCCCGCTGTGGCCCAATTACCTTATGTAACATAAATGCGTAAGGTCTCAAATTTTTTTTTTTGTGCGACGTTCAACGATTTTTAATTTGGGAATACTTTACGTAGTTCTCCTGAACTGCGCCAGCAGCTTGGGAAAAAATGTGAAGATTAGAAAGAATGAATAGAAGAAGGGAGAACAGGGGAGATATAGCGTTTGGGTTGTACCCACTAAGAACATACCCTATCTATAACTTCTACATAACAATATATGTATTGTATATGTTGACAAAAATATCGCGCCAGCTGCTATGATGACGGAATTCGGCTGGTGCGAGCGGAAAAAAGTTCAAAGATGAGCGGAGATTACTTCTACTGACCATTTAAGGAACTTTTTTCCTGCTGTTTCCGACTAACGGTGGAACCTGACTGATGAAACATGTTGCGAACTCGCTACCATAATCCCCCGTACATAACACCATATGGTGTATATAAAAATTCACTAAAAAAAATGACAGGGTCTTAACAGTGGCCCGGAAAAATATAGTGCCCATGTGTTATGTAAAATGCAATTTGCATTTGAATGTTCCAGGCCATGTTAGCTCACAACTGCGTAGAGCGGCTGTTAACGAGGCATATCATCCGCTGAGATGAAAATTACGAACCATGCGTCATTGTCCAATCCCTGCTGAGTGCTGTGGTCTGGGCCAGCTTCGTGCCGCACCTGCGACTGCCAAGACCTGAGAGGATTTTGACCGTCAAATCATAGCAGAATCCGTGACTTCGACTGTTCAAATCCTCCCAAATCTCGACCTTCGTTGACGTTTCCATTTCGCGCTGCAACTTGTGTTGATTCTTCTGCCCGTTTTTTTCGCTGCAACTTGGTAGTTGACATTGCATTTTTCATCCTGCTTGTTTTTTTCAATCGAGAGGAGCTTGAAAAACGACGGAATACTGTTCTTTGCTGAGGTCGGTGTCTGCGTGTGGCCACAAAGCGAGCCAGGATGCTGAGAGGGTACGCAAGATCTGGACGAGTGCAAGTCATCAAGTACATGAGGCAGCCCACCAGCTCTGCGTAAGGACCACTGGGCTCTACTGACTCCTCAGGAACTGGAACGGAGAGCCTATGATCTACTGGCAGGGGTGTGGGCTGTGCGGAGGAGAACTGAAGACCGAACCTCTGAAGGACCAGGCGCACCAAGTGTGACTGGGTGAGGGTGATGGTGCGCGCTACTCTATCCCTGGAGATCTGCAAGCCAAGGTAGTGGCGCAGCTCTCCTAGGTCAGTGCAGGTGTGTCTCCTCAGTAGCTCAGCCTTCACGGGGGCCAGTGCGTCAGTGTCTGTAGTGGCAAAGGCCAGATCGTCTACGTAATCGAGGATGTAGAACGGAGTCTGGCCAGAACGAACGAAGAGCGAGGGGTCTGCAGAGGACAGAAAGACCTGCAGGTCTGGAAGGGTAGCATGCAGCGTGCCGTGCCACTCACGGGGCGCCTACCGCAGGCCGTAGACTTGGCGCCGCAGGAGCCACTGGGTCCCAGGAGGGAAGGTACCAGTGAAGCCCTGAGGGCGGCGCACGTAGACCTGCTCATGTAGACTGCCCTAAAGAAACGCAGTGGAGAA